AGCCCTGACGGACACCACTTGATGTAGAGAATTCAGATGACAGTTCGCCATATGCTCTCACCCGACCATTGGTGTTCGAGTAGAGAGCTTGTATAAGGTTAATGTACTTCTTTGGTACACCTTTCAATGATAGACATTGCCACAGAACCTCACGATCCACTTAGTCGAATGCCGCTTTCAGGTCCAAGAGCACGACTAATGTCGGACGTCTAAATGTGTGTCTGTGTTGTAGCACCTGTCGTTAAATTGTGAAGATGTGGTCTATACAGCCACGTACAGGCCGAAAACCAGCCTGGTTTTCTCGAGTCTGCTCTTCACGAGCTCTAGTTAGACGTCTAAGTATAATCGGGGCTAACAATTTAGAAACTATATTAGTTAGACTGATTCCCCTGTGATTGTCACAAGAGGACTTTTGTCCTATCTTGTAGATTGGGTCAGTTAGCGACTGAGACCAGTGCGATGGGATTATGTCCAGTTCCCAGATTCTACCTAAGATCTCGGTCAGTCTAACTGTTAAAACTGGACCACCATCCTTAAACATCTAGGGGGTAAGCCTGTCATGACCTGCTGCTCTACTTCGCTTTAGATTTACCATAGCTTTCTCAACTTCATGTAGACTGGGAGGATTTAAATCGATTTGCCATTCTCGATGACTAGGGATCGTGGGTAACCGAAGTGTGGCTCGAGGCCAGTTGGACTGCTTCCTAAATTGTTCTGCCCATCGGTCCAGTCTCCTCGATTGGGAATGGATAAGACCATCCTTTTCCGAGATAGTCTCACTCACATTCGGGTTCCTAATACCAGTTTCTTTGATAAGGCGGAAAAGTTGTCCACTGTTCCCTATCGCCGCTGCCTTTTCCATCGCTTTTGCTTTCGCCACCCACCACTGTTCACGGTCGTTACGTAGGCTTTTGATCAGTCTGCGCTTAAGTTGACTTCGCCCTTCGTCATGTTCGGAGTCAGGTGGGATGCGTTTCCGAGCATCCATCAGTTCGGTGGATGCGACTGAAATCTACGGATTCTTCCTCGCCTTATGGTTTACCTTACTAGAGGATATCACTGCTGTTTCCACAGCCTTTTTGATATCTTTCCAGCCTGCCTCTGGATGGGAGTCACTTGCATGGTAGCCCAACTGTTTTTCTATTTTCTCCTGAAATATTTTCTTAACTTGATTATCATTAGGTAAAGCCCTAAGAGTCTTTCTTGCGTCCATTAAGGCGTAAAGTAATACGCGCTCCCACTAGAGCATGATATGAATCTAAACATGTGCCCCACAACTAGCGACAGTCCTCTATCGAACCCCTCCATCGGTGGCTGATGGCGATATGATTTAGTTGCGTCCAAAGCTGGCGACCTTGGGGGTCGCCAGATCAGCAGATGTTTTTCTTTATGCTTGAAATCCGTGTTTGCTAGGCGGTTATTTGAGCATAGTTGCAACACACGGTCGCCATTTTCTGTGATCTGAGCCGCGAAACCATAACATCCACCTAGGTGTCTTTCATTTTCACTTAGTCTACCTACTTGAGCATTAAAGTCACCAGCCATTATTACTATATCAGAGCGCCTAGCTTTTTGGAGGAGGTCCGAAAGCTTTCTGTAGAACTCATCTTTAACCTCGTCTGAACTGCAGTCAGTGGGGGCGTAGGCAGATACGACGAAGAGGCAACGACGGTTATCCCTATCCTTCCGAGTCCTTACTGTCCCGTTCAGTCGGACAGCGCACAAGCGACTATCGACCGGGATCCAGCCAAGGAGAGATTGTTCAGCTCTCCGACTCAATGCTATGTCTACGCCAGCAAGACCCCTAGAAGCAGCACCAGGGCTACCGGATACACGAAGAGTAAATCGAGCTGCTTCTTTATCTTGACAAGGTGAAATCAGATTAATAATTTTAATAGGATCCTGTATGCACTTTTCCGAGACGCAGCATACATCGATGGCACGTGATTCTAGAGTCTTAGCTAAGGAAGCCCGTTGCCCTATTTGACAGACAGACAGACAGACAGATACAACACAGAACTTCGTACATAAGTACATCAGTTCAGGTTGCCATGCCCCATCAGCACAGAGACGCAACTGTCAGTTCAAATCCAAGAGTGATACCAATAATAGAAGTATTAGCAGTAATGGAGAAGATCAGGGAGCGAAGATATGATTCGAGAAGTATAATTCAGTAAGAAATTTAGAAGGAGATAGGTAGAGATTATGAGGAATGCAGAAGCTTATAACTTCATAGAACACAAAGAGTGGATGCACATGCGCCATTGCAAACGATCCTGAGGCATGTCGTTCAAGGTCTCTAAGCAACGGTGACCTTCGTTTCGCGGACCCCAACCAGGTAGCCTATATCTACCAACATGACTCAGTCCACTTGTCAGTGACTTCATGGATTTCGGCCATGTTTTGGTTTGGCCGCCTCTAGCTTTCTTCCAAACTACTCCTGCATCACAAAACATAGCTCGTCGCGGCAGTCCGTGGTTAGGCATACGTAACATATGTCCCAACCACCTCAACTGATGAAGTTTCACCACTTCATCTATTGATATGCCATCCTTACCTAGTACTCGTTTCCTAACGACAGCACTGCTTATACGGATGTCCCATGATACATGAGCAATTCTTCGGATTCACCAGTGATCGAAGACTAGTAACCTACGGAAGTCCTCTACTCTTAACAGCCAAGTCTCGCATCCGTACAGTAGGACGGAGCGAACTGCTGCACAGTACACTCGTCCTTTGATTAGCGAACGGATATCTCGCCTACGCCATAGGTGACGCAGGTTGGCAAAAGCCAATCGAGCGCCCTATTTGACACAATGTCCGTACATTCAAAGCTCCAACATGTAGTCTAGAACGGGGTTTCAAGAGACCAGGAATGACGTTTCGTGAACTTGCTTCGTTCGCATTAGCGGTGCAGTGAGGTAAGGGAATGTGAGTAGAGTTAGTTGTAGAGATAAGAGAGGTATGCGTGGGTGTAGAGAGGATTTGATTTCGACCAACGTGGTCTCGTGTGCTGTTACTGGTACGAGGGCGGTTGTCGCTTTCCGGCTGCCCACAACGTTGAAGGTTGTTTCTTAAGGGACACGTGAAATCCGAAATGTACTGAGGGACTTCGTGACACATAGTGATGATATGAGTAATTCCAGCATTTTTCAATAAATAATCTACTTCATACTTTTCTCGCGGAAAAGCGAATCCAGCAACAGATTTAGAAACCAAGAAAAGTTGAGCGGTGGACGGGACATGATGGGACCAAGCAATGGTGACGACCCTGAAGGATAGTCAGTAAGCAGGTATACTTACTGCATACCCTGACCATTTTATTTAATAAATATTCAATGCTCTGTCGGTTATTTATCTAGTACCCAATACACTAAAAATTGTCAGAGAAAATATTACTTATCTCAAATTTTGTGTATGATATCAAGGTGTCATCCAAAGTTTAATCCATTAAGATAAAATTATATCTAGTAGGAAAAGCTGCAACGCGTTAATAAACTAAATATCATAGGTAGGTAATAGATCTACCAATTTAGCCTGAGAATGTAAGATAATCGTAGGTTACCTGTATTCGATCATGGATGTCTTCCTATTGGGACCAATTACTTCAAGTAGTGTCTGTCAGGGATGTCCACTCTCTCCATTCTTAACTTTGTTATAGACATGCTTCTAGAGATAACATTATCTTCGTCTGACTTTTCAGGAGTGGACCTTCTACCAGGAGACTTGCTCGTCGGCTAAGAGTATGCCGACGACATAGTCCTATTTGGTGAAGACGATAACAAAATAATCATCTGATTACCTGAAGCAACAATGCAAGTATGTTCGGGATGCGATTCTTCCTATCGAAATGAAAGTGTAGACTACCTGTTTAGGGTTCGTGAGACGATAGTAACCGATGGTTAGAAACCTTGTACGACATGGCCCAAAATCGTATGCTATGGAGAAGATGCATCCACGCTTTGTGTTCTCTCAAACTGTAATCTTCTGAACTGCTCATCACCACTACCTCTCTCTAAATTTATTTCATTGAATTTTACTTGAATAATCTCTTTGAACCCCAATCTCCATTACCGCTAATACTCCTACTATCTCTACCACTATGGGATTTGAACTGACAATTGCATCTCTGTGTTGCTGTAGTATGGCAACCTGAACTTACGCATGTACGTACGAGGTTCTACGTTGTAACTGACTGAATGAAACTATTAAGATTTTAGTAATGCGATATTGATTAAGCCTTCTGTTTTATTTGATCAAAACAGAATTATTGGTGTAGATAAGCACCAAAATATGTGTCACACAATAAAAAAGAGGTTGTGAAGAGACGGAGAAAGAACAGTGATAACGAAAAATGGATAGAGTTTAGAGTACGAGATTGAAATAATAGTGAGAGAAGTTCAGTTGGGGAAAATGCAGAAAGAAACTTCTAAGTTAAAGTTCCACTTACTTAGGTGAAGGAAATAAAGTTACAGGAGGAGAGCCACAGGCTTATATTTCAGCCACGTTTGATAACGTCTCAACCCACTGAGTCTCACTTTCTGTAGAACCCCAACCAGGGGGTCGTGTGGAACTAACAGAAGCCAGTAGTGGATAGCTTTCTCTCGCTCCACGATACTATGTCATACACTGACCACATCTTTCATTTTTACAGCTAGTCTCGGAATCGGCAAATAATAAGCCATATGGAAATCGCTAGGACAACATACATACATAGTCAATGTCCAAGCCATTGAAGTCCGTGTTAAAATGATGACACCAATTAAATTATCGTCCTTTTTTTGTTTAAAATTAGTTGTTTTAGTACTTCATCGATTTAGGTACCATTACCAACCACTATCAGTTTAGACCAGTTAGTAAGATTTAGGAATAACGTGAAACTAGGTTAGCTTCGTCCCCTTTTCTGATTTATATCCAGATTCTTGGTTCGTAGAATAAGAAAATATGTTTTCGATACCAAATTACTCAACAATAATTGAGAAACCGTCAGAGAAACATACTTTAGCCTACCCCATTAATGCGAAGAAAGGAAGAAATACGCACTCGAGATGTCAATCAAGTCCGCGCAACTTCAGCCTTTGGTTGGTTTTAGTATAGCCAAGAGGTACCTTGTGTGATGGGGGTGTGTGAAGAGCAGCGTATGAGAATATCTGGAAGAAAGAACAAAAGAAAAGGTGAGCGAACGACTAAGTAAGCACACAGAATGCACTTACATTCAGTAGAGGAATCAATATACAGAAACCAGAAATAAAGCTAGCATGAGATCAAGACAGTCTGATAAATAAAACTATAAGTTATTAGAGTAACGTTTCGAATGAGTTACATCTGGGACTACCGAGTAGCGCGCGTAGCAAGACGATACCCCAAAGGATTCACATAAACAAACAAGTCTATCAATGAAAAGTAAGAATAACAACTTAATTACTATATTTGAGGTAATCCGAATTATATGAGTTTAATTTGTTCTCCTTAGTCGCATCAGGCCTGGTTATTTATGCATCTAATAAGTTGGGGTTAAAGGTTATAAGTATTAGAATTCCTGCCTTCGGATTTAACGACCACTGTTATGTTAAGTCCACATAGTTGCTTTTTGAATTTATTAGACGTTTTATTTTTGAGTGTTAAGCTACTGTCGTGATTGGTGTTGGTTCTAGTACTATCTGTATTAGCTCACTCACTGCAAACCTGCATTTTTGTGAGCTGATGAACAAAATTCACTCGTAACATAACAAATAGGCAGATAAAGTTTGGAATAGCGAAAATTCAAAAGAACGTAATTCTTATAAATAATGAAGGTAAGGTGATTTGACGCACCAGTGGTATTTCATTTACTGCTTTTCACCATCGAAGTCACGAGGTCATTTTGTAATTGGATTTCCTTTTTAGCAACGAAAACAAGTTCAAGGTTACAAATATGAGTTAAATAGTTAGTTGACACAGTAAAGTAACATCAATATTATTGATTAGTTTTATCCTACTAGTCTTAGGATCTGCTCCATAAATAAAAGAGTCGCAACTTGTTCCGAGTTCAAATGCATATTTACCTCTAAACGACAGGTGAATCGCACCTCTGTAATACACCAAAATTGTCCTAAAGATAACAGGAATGACCTAGTAGTTCGACTAAACGAAATTTTGCACAGGAAACATGCTACACGTTCTGACCGTGAGCCCACAGTACTTGACCTACCTAGCGAACAACAATGCCTGACAACTAATACTCCTACTCAGTACGTTACTAAACTTCGAAAATTAAACCCTAGAACTCATAAATATGGAGACACACTACAAATACCCCCCTATACTCTAACCTCAGACACCTCCCTATTTCTACCCGAAAGCCTACTATTCCACTTACTATATCGCTCACAAATTAACTGAGTGAAACAATCAAGCCTATATTCCTAATTCCAGCCCTTCTTGACATTACACAACCAAAAATCCACCAGCTGCTCATCGTGCTTCGCTAAAACGCTTGTATTCACACTATGTAACACTAATGCTAATTAATTCTTGATTTCTAATCAATAAGATGTCTCATCTATGCTCACTGGTAATTGTAAACAACCCTTCACTTGTTCTGATTACCGAAAGTTGGTTGCCCTCGGATGTCCCTGACTTATGTCTTCTAATAGACTCGTATGAACTAATTCGCGGCTACCGAGGCTCTAATTTATGAATCTAGAAACACCAAAGCAAAAATGTTTAGCGATACTGTCCTTAACAAAGTGCCTGATTCCATATGGCTCACTGTGAGCTCATTGAATGTAAAATTCTGATTGGGTTTATATATCGAGCTCCAAACACTCATCAATCGATTGACATTGCTGCTGGTGAGTCGTTTACCAGGGCTGCCTCTCTTCAGTTTATTATAAATATTATTTGTGGCGACTTCAACCTTCCTAGGATCAACCGGTAGATACAATACGCTTTGAAAGCATATTAGGCCCATTAGACACACGTGGTTGGCAGCAGCATGTGCACCTGCCTACTAGAAAACGCAACATTCTCGATTTGGCATTTTGTCAAGATGTCACACCAACATCTGCGGTGGTCTGAGAAAAGTTTCACAACAGTGACCATAAAATTGTCCTCTGCACCCTACCTTCCTTGCTAAATGCGACCTATCTAAAATAATGACGCGTTTTAAATACGGAGACTATGAACACGCTGGCTCAGACAGCTTTCGGTTTCTAATTCAACACTCCGACTGGATTGCGTTCTTTAATAGGGGCGTACTGCATATCTAAGGACTTCAGCATTCTGTACCAAATCTATGCTGCACTTTTTTTGAAAAACCAACATGAAGTGCGCGAGTAAATAGAAGAAAGTAATGCCTTCGCTACTGAATGTAAGTCCCAAAACCTTTGTCGTCTGCTTAACAAACTCATAAAAAAGAATCTCAGCTCACAGCATTCATTCCTTACATGATAAAGAGACTTATTATGACTACGCTGTTATTTGTGAACTGTTTAGTACATGATTCTCTCTCGATCAGAACACATCTCTCATCTCTGATATTAATCTGTAGCAGTGAGAATGATCTCAGTACCATCAACCTTGACCTTTGCAATAACTAGACCGCCATTAAAACCCTCAAACCCGATGGCAGCTGTGGTGTAGATGAAATACCACCCGTACGCTTTAACATGGGAGGACTGAATATTCTAGCACTTTTGCTCGTAATATTTACGTTATCCCCAGAGGCTGGTATATACTTCAAAACCTGGAAAGTAACTCATGTTGTCCCTAAACATAAATCTGCACCGAAAAACCTACTCCGAAACTACAGACCAATTAATATCACCCCACTTATCTCACATGTATTGGAGAAAGTGATAAAAGATTAACTATATGATTACTTACCCAGGAAAAGTCTCATTGGGCCCTTACAACATGGCTTCTTTAGAATTAGGACAAGCTCCACATATCTAATGGATTTCTTTAATGAGGTGATCGTGTTGTATTTTGATATCAAAAATGTGGCTGGATGTGTTTCAGAGAGACAGCTGCCAAAATTAATCTCACTTTCAGTGGGAGTGTACTGCCTAAACTCTTATCAGCAACTGATCTAGGAGTGAGTTACTCGCATAGCCTTAACTTCTCTTAACAAATTTCCAATAAAGTTTTGCGAATAAGAAGAATGCTTGGTTTTTTTTTTCGAAACTTCTTTCACAGAGAATCCAGAACAGTTCTCTACGGAACGACCTATAGCTTAATACTGCTCATTCTTATTTTCCAACTTACACCCATCTGATCTGTTGAAGGTTGAAGGAATTTCACTTTAAAAATAATAAATCGTCACTAACTCATTGACTATCCAACTCGAAGTCAAACACTTGGACTATGGAAATGAAGGCTTAATTTCAATCTAATCCCCTAACTCAAGCTATTGCACAGGTTCACATACTCCTCTTTTAGTGTAATCATTATCCAAGACCCATGTATACATAACCCTCGAGATAAAGTATCTACGGTCAAACTTGAGAAGTATAAATCAGAAATTTGAGAAAACTTCTTCCTCAATAGGTATGCACTGATTCGGAATAGCCATCTCTCCAAAGGCTCATGGCTTGTGTATTACGTGAGTTTGTACAGCTTCTTAATGGAACTCTCTGTTGCACTGATTAATCTACACACGTGAACTCACTCGCACCATGCTTCCATATTGTCAGCCCTGCACACTTTAAACTGCACCGAACACAGTGCTACTTTTTTATTTATTTTCCTCCGAAGTAACATTAAATTTTTGTAAATGAATGCAAATCTCTTTGATTTTTACTTGAAAGAGGCAGGTTTCTCACTGGGTCAATCGATACTGTTCATCTATAAACTGGCTTATATGGACTCATTCTACTGTCCTGGACAAAACTTTATCAACACGCATAACTTTGTGAGTTTCATGTTGCCTGTTATTAGTTTTACTGTTCTCAGATGTACTCTATTGACAAACTATTGACCCCATCATGTTATCCTTTGCTCCACTTTTAACCATAATACTCTTCAACTTTCCTGCTTACTGCGTTAAGCACATATCCGCCGTTACATCCTAAATCCTCACAGCTTGTTTGAACATCCATAATTTATTCCTCCATGACTGTCAACTGAATTGTATTGATGCCTCATGAATAGTTCATAAGTTATAACAGCTGGATAGGCTTCTACCCTTCTACGAAGAAAATATGATTTGTGAAAAATAAACATTATGGTACTCGTTTTGTTTAACTATACCAAAAACACTTCTACGACTTCTTGTGCGCAACGTTCTCTTCGCGTTGCTGCCATCTTTCTCTATTTGCTGTTCCCAATGTAATGCCTACTGTCTCCTTAAATAAAACCATGGATCATGGATTTGTTTTTATATTCGTGACGCGACCGTATGGAACATTTAGTGGTGAGCATAGTCAATCTGATATCTGGATTCGCTCACTACAAGCTTGTAAAAAGGAACTTGCAGAAATAGTGTTTTACAATATGATGCGAAACATAGAGCCTCAAGTAGAACATAAAATATTAACTCACCATCATTTTACGTGTGCCTAACAACACAAAAGGAGGGACTGTGGAGTTACTGACCAGCAAACATCGCTGGTGTAGGGATGACTTCTGTCATCTCATGTTTGTGGGGCAGAACATTTTGTTTGCTTTTGGCACTTTTCGATTGATGAGGCGAATAACCAGAGGTACTGAGGTTGATCTTATACGCTTTCTACCTCTGAGACTCATGTTTTAATGATTTGAACGATTTGAACGAACAGGCATCCAGCTTCTTGCTTCAGCTTTTCTTCCATCCACTGGACACACTCCGAACCTGCCCTTCTTCATTGCTGTACTCCTTCATTTGTAGGCTATATTGCTATAATGTACTTTAATTTTACTGGTCAGTATGAATTTTATCCTATCTACTGCACCATGGAAGTTTAAGAAGTGCTTTGGTTTGGTACATACAATTGTATCGTTGCTGCCTTTTTTTCTCTCTTATTTCTTCTTTCTTAGTGGAATATCCATGGCGCCTACAGGCGAAATACACTTTACGTGCACGCCCGTCTAGGTCTCAGCTTGTACCAAGCGCTTTCGAATAAGAATGATGGACAAATCAATCTGCTCCTACTAACAGTAATAGGTTACGCCTTTGAGGTGCTACCCGTGACTCTTCCCTACATTTAAATTCCAATCATTATTTTCGTATCTTCAAAGCGATTTTAGTTTTTATTTCTAATAGACGGACCAACTGAAAAGCCTGTAGATGCTGATCAACTTTTGACAGTTACTGAGAACTCAAACTCCCTGTATCATTGTTAGTTCCTTCTTGTTTAACTATTAACAGTGTAATAAATTTTTATTT